ACACTGAAGCACCCTTGTGCCCCAGCCAGCCCCTCTGCAGTACATTAAGCCCAGCTGGAGCAGCCCCAGGCTGGCAGGATGACCCGCTGGACTCCCTGCCAGCCAGGACTCCTGGGACCAGGCTCAATGTGCTGTGGTCTGGGTGCACACGCAAATGGTGCGCCTGGTAGGTTCCTGGGAGCAATGAACTGTGGAGCAGTAAGTTCCGCAGTTTATTGCTGCGCCTTAATGGCACATATAGATGAACCAACTGACCAGCTTTGTCTCCTCTACCAATATAGAACAGACTATCACAAGAATTTAGAATTCAAAATTGAGGAAACCTCACCACAGCTCCACTCAGTGTGGCACTTTTAACCATAAGGGTGGAATAAAAAGGGAAGCAGGAAATTGAGGAGCTTAGCAGCTCACCACTCCAGGCCCAGACATTTTTTCATGGCTGCAACAGGTCTAGTTCTCTGTTCTATATGAGGAGTTCTATGGTTCTGAATGTACCAGAACAGAAGAACTTAAAAGGTGCAAAACATCAAGACATTCACATGTTCTATTTTAAATGTTGAACATGCTCCTCCTCCAACACGCAAACATTTATACAGGTTGGTGAAACATGTCAGCCCTACACTTCAGAAAGGCAGCATCCCTCAAGGGAACGCTTATTAGGTCCATTCTTAAGGAAGCTTTTATTCAAGCAAAGAACCCCACTATTATTGGCTTCTAACATTCCCATTCAGAGGAAGGTTTTTAAAAACTTGTGACCAAGCAAAGACTTAACTTCCCCTAACCATTTAGATCATGGGAAGGATTTTTTGTTCAATTGAGTTTATACTCTTACAATCTGATCCCCAATATAAATAACATTATTTTCCATGTGAAGCCCCAACATCCCCCTTGACTGTCTAAAATAAAACCTCCTGCCTCCCTTCCTTTTAATGTTTATTGTTATAAAAAATATAAGTCAAAGTGGTAAACTGGCTCAGTTGGTTGAGAGAAAGGAGAGATTCACTCTGCCACACAACAGCAGCTCAGGTTCCTGTTATGACAAACTGGAAAATGTGATTAATTTCTCTTAATATTGTCCATGTCTCTGTGCATCTGTTTATAAGGAGAGATCAAAAGCATTTATTAAGCGGACCAAACAGGAAAGGCAAAAGAATTACACAGATAATAGTCCCCAAAGAAACTATGGAAAAGCTGTTATTTGGGGAATATACCCTGTCAGGCTCTGGGTTTATTCTTTCCAAAGCTAAGGTTCGAATTAAAGCAGGAGACTAAGCCTGCAGGACATCAGACTTAGAAGAGGAGAGGACTGAGAGAGGCTGCCCAGGAAATGTTATTGTGTGCTAACAGGAATGCAAGGAGACATGCAAACATCCTGAGAATCAGGGCTGGCAGCAAAAAGACTGAATTTTGTCTCTGTAGACCTGGAAGCACTAACAGCTGTCTACTGAAAGACCTGGGGAAGAAGTAGTTGGGTTATTTCATTGCTTTAATTTGCTATTCTAAGCACTGTGATCCTTTTGTCATGCTAATCACCAAGGATCCTGGTTTTCTGTTTCCCACAGAAAAACAGAGAAAACCATG